CAGTGTCCTCTCTCGTTATTGATCCCTGGCTGTCCGGGTGTGGAACGGCCAGCATAGCTGAGCTCCTGGTGTCCGGCTGGAATTTCCCATCTGCCAGGGCTCCCCATCCCTGGCGGTTAGTACACGCGCCTGGATGGGAGACCTTGTGTGTGTGTGTGTGGGGGGGGGGTCTTTGGGACCCCAGAGGTTAAAAAAAAACCAAATCAGAGCTTTTGGTTAAATTCAGGAAGCCTGGCGCTGTGCCGAGTGTTGAGGGCGCAGCTATCATAAATTCCCATCTTACAGACGCCAAGAGTGAAGCAGAGGGAGGTCAAGTATCTTGCCTACAGTCCCACGGCTAGCAACTAGCAGAGACGGGGTGGGATGGGGTCCCGGATTTGGATCCCGGCCGGGCGGCTGCGGAGCTCGTGCCCTGGGAGGGAGCCGTGGTCTTGGCGGGCAGGTGGTGGTGGTGGGGGGGGCTGTGTCTGCTCTGCTGTGCCATCCCAGCCAGGCTGGGCAGATGTGCAGCCCGGGGCCCTGCTGGTGTTCGTTTTCTCAATGCCCGGGGTTCCTTTTCTTTCCGTTCAGAAGAGTGGAGAGGTGGACCCAAAATGCACAGCTTATTAGGGCACAAATAATAGGAGAGCTCTCTTTATTGAGAAGGAACATTGGGAAGAGAATGCCCGCTAACCGCGGGCCAGGAAGGGTCTTTGTGTTATAAGGTCCTGGTCGCCCCGCTTCCCTTCCCCCTGGGTCCTTCTCAGGTTCTACCCCCGCCTTGGCCGGATAGCTCTAGGGGGTGTCCCTTCCTGATTGGCTCCTTTCCGTTGTGTGAGGGGTGGCCTACCGTATCCGGTATCCGTTCTTGTAGGAAGTAACATTTTATGGTCTACTTTGAGGTCGAGTCTTTAGTCAAATTCCTAAGGGGACCCTGAGGGGGAGTAGGTGGGTGTCTGTCACATTCGTAAGAGGTCGCCTGAGGGGGTTTGCTGTGGTCCCGATGTTCCCAGCATTTTTCTAAAATAGGTGTTTTTCTCCACCCAGGGGCCTCGGGTCCTAACCTTTGCCTCTTTGCCTCTTTTCTTCTATCTTTTCCCATCGTACAGGCACTGGCCTGTAGTGGGGGTCAGGGGTCAGGGGTTAGGGTGAGGCAGGGGTTGAGTGTGGGCCTCAGGCTTCAAATGAGTTACCGAACCGGTAAAGCGGGGGGATTCCCTGACGGACAGGCAAAGAGGAGTCACAGGTGCCTCCTGGTGACCCACCGCTTAGGGAGAACGCGCTTTGCGGCTCTCGGGGTCTCCACGGAAGCCCACTGTACCTCCGCCCGCCTCTCGTTTTGCGTGAGGGGCTCTCAGAGTGCTGCCCAGGGCATCCGACGTGCCTGCCAACAGAGCAGGGGAAACGGGAGTTCTGGGTGAGAACCTGGGTGTGCAGCCTTTTTACAGAATGCCGTGAAGTCCGCCTGTGGTCGCCAGGCAGGGCCCTGCCCATCCCGGCCGGCAGGGAGAGCAGTGCAAAGCCCCCAGCCTCCGAAATGCTGGCACCTGCTGGCGGTTCCGCTGGCCGGTCTGTGACCCATGGTGCCGGTCTGTGACCCATGGTGCCGGGTCACATGGGTGGCCCTCCCTGCTGCTGGCGGGAGCGGGGCCGGGCCCTGGTCACTCAGGAGGGACACACAGGAGGATGGGACTCTGCCCGCCGGGTCCCCAAGGGCCTGGGGTCTGAGGAGCAACACCCTCCCACCC